CGAGGCTATAAATCTTTATGGGAGCAGAAAGCATCATCTTTCTCCCATGGAACAGCTGGTAGTTTAGAACTGTCGACCTTGAGGTTAGCAGCCTGGTTCGTAACCATTACACTACTAGAGTGCTTTATTTACTATGCAAAGGCTTTCAACTGTGTCGACAAGCTATGGACAATGTTGCAGACAATGAGAATTCCAGAAAGCTTAATTGTGTTCATGAGGAACCTTTACACAGACCAAGAGCCAGTCATTAGAACAGAACATGGGGGCATTGAATGGTTTAAAATCAGGAAAGGCATACACCAGGGTTGTGTTCTTTCACCATACTTATTCACCTGTATGTTTAGCAAATAATCTGAGAAACTGGATTATAACAATCAACAGCCTGTGATATGCAGATGATACAACCTTGTTGGACGAACTCAAAGAGGACTTAAAATACTTATAAAGATAAAAAAAAAAAACACAGCCTTTGGTATTGGTTGTAACTAAATGTAAAGAAAACAAAAATACTCACCACTGGACCAATAAATACCTTCATGATAAATAGAGAAATGATAGGAATTATGAAAGATTTCATTTTGCTTGGAACCACAATCAACCCTTACGGAAGCATCAGTCAAGAAATCAAACAATGAATTGAATTCAGCAAATCTGCTGCACAAGACCTTTTTAAAGTGTTCAAGACCAAAGATTTTAAGGACAAACGTGTACCTGACCCAAGTCATTATATTTTTCAATAGCCTCAGATGCATACCAAAGTTGGACAATGAATAAGGAAGACTGCTGAAGAATTGATGCATTTGAATTATGGTGTTGGAGAAAATTTTTAAAGATACAACCAGAATGTTCCTTATAACCCACGATGTCCAGACTTCATCTCTCATTCTTTGGACATATTATCAGGAGGATCCAATTCCTGGAGAAGGGCACCATGCTTGGTAAAGTGGAAAATGGAGAACCCCAATGAGAAGTATTGGCACTGTGGCCGCAACAATGGGCTTAAGCATAGCAGAAATTTTGAGGTTAGTGCAGGGCTGAGTGGTGTTTCATTCTATTGTACATATTGTCACTGTGGGTCGGAACTGGCTCAACAATGCCTAACAACACAATAGGGAAGTTGTCAAGTGCCATCAAGTTGGTTCAGACTCCTACTGACCCTGTATAGAGTTTCCAAGGCTTCAAATCTTTGCTAGAGCAGAAAGCTCATCTCTCTCCCACGAAGTGGCTTGTGATTCACAGTCCAGTGCTTACCATATGGAGCCACAGGTTACAATTCAGGATCCGAAATGCTCAATATAGACATTTTTCGTGAGGACAGTCAAGCATGCATTCCTCTCTCTGGTCCTTGGCCTTTCAGACACACAGCCCTTGGCCTCTGCTTGGAACAAAGTTCTTTTGTTGTTGTTAGGTACCCTGGAGTCAGGTCTAGCTCATAGTGACCTGACTGCCTCTTGGTCTATGCACAGGTTCCTCCTGAACACAACTAAGTGTTCTGGAATTCCCATTCTTTGCAATGTTACCCATAGATTGTTATGATCCCCACAATCAAATGCCTTTGCATAATCAATAAAGCACAAATAAGCATCTTTCTGGTATTCTATGCTCTCAGCCTAGATCCATTTGACATCAACTATGATATCCCTCTTCTGAATCCAGCTTGAATTTCTTGCAGTCTTGTTGATGTAATGCTGCCTTTTACTTATCTTCAGCAAAAATTTACTTGCATGTGATATGACATGATATTGTCTGATGATTTCCACATTCTAATGAGTCACCTTTATTTGGAATAGACACAAACATGCATCTCTTCCAATTGGTTGGTTTGGTAGCTGTCTTCCAAATTTCTTTGCATAGATGAGTGACTACCTCCAGCATTGACTCAGTTTGCTGAAACATTTCAATTTGTATTCCACCAATTCCTAGAGACTTGTTTTTTGTCAATGCCTTCGATGACACTTGGGCTTCTTCCTTCAATACCATTGGTTCTTGATCATATGGACACACTGAAATAGTCAAATATAGACCAATTCTTTTTGGCATAGGGATTCTAAGTATTCCTTCCATCTTTGTTTGATGCTTCGTAAGTTATTCAATATTTTGCACATAGAATCCTTCAATATTGCAATCCAAAGCTTGAATTCTTTCAGTCAGTTTTTTCAACTTGAGAAATGCTGAGCATGTTCTTCCTTTTTGGTTTTCTATCTCTAGGTCTTTGCACATTTTATTATTAATGCTCGATTTTGTCTTCTCAACCGTTCCTTTATAATTTCCTGTTCAACTCTTTACCTCCTGATTAATTTTACTCCCTTTAGCTCCCTATGCTCAAGAGCAACTTTTAGTCTCTTCTGACATACATTCTTGTCTTTTTAATGACCTTTGGCTTTTTCAATGCATGATGTTCTTCATATCATACCACACCACATCTTGTCTTCAGTCACTAGTGTCTAATGCAAAAATCTGTTCTTGACAATGGTCTTTAAATTCAGCTGAGATATACTCAAGGTCATATTTTGGCTCCCATGGACTTGTTTTAAATTTCTTCAGCTTCAGCCTGAACTTGCACATGAGCAATTGATGATCTGTTCCACATAAGCCCTGGTTTTGTTTTGGCTCCCATTTAAGAGGGTTGATGTCCAAAATCAGAGTGCTGACTCTAGGGAAAGACTTTCTCTCTTTGTGGGCTCTGGAGAAAGGTCCTTGTCTCCTTTCTGCACTTAACAGCAACAACAACAATAAAGACTATGACTGTGGTGGTGGTGACTGTGTGCCATGGAGTCGGTTCTGACTCATAGTGACCCTGTACAGGGTTTCCAAGGCTGTAAATCTTTACGGGAGCAGAACACCTCATCTTTCTCCCGCGGAACTGTTGGTAGTTTCGAACTGCTGACCTTACCGTTCGCAGCCCGATTCGTAACCACTATGGCTAGAAGAGTCATATTATGTAATTCACTGCACTGCATCCTTCTTCTTACCGATTAGTGAACAGACTCTTGAGAACAATACCTGAGAAGCCTTTCCAGCAACTAGGAAAACTGAATGGCTTACTCTGTACTTTGTCAATATCACTACTATAGGATTTATCACACATGGAATAATTATTTACACATCTGTTTTCCCTACTTGAATGGCAGGCACTTAACAGCAAGGACGGCATCTCCCCCTGTATCTTTTCAGATCATCACCCACCACATGCCAGGTCCAAGCTGCCAAATTGGTTTCTACTCATACCAATAGTCTATAGGGTTTCAAAGTAGCTGCTGTTGAGTTTGAACTGCCAACCTTTCAAGTGAAACTGACTTTGGGGTCTCATGCTTATCCTACAGTGCCACACCAGGACCACAGTTAGAAATTACTGTATGGCTACTGTGTGAATTGATTTATGGAAAGTCAACATTAAAATACCATGGTTTGATAATGATATTTTTAAATGCATTTCTCAAATAAGCTTAAAACATTATTGTCTTTACATTTACACTCTTAAAATTCATCCCAGTGTCTAATATATCCCCATACATTAGAAAGTAACAATAACTTTTACTGAACTATTAAATATAAAAATCTCTATAAAATAATAAGAAAGTTAATTTAAGGAAATGAAACAATTAGTTGTTTGATAATAAATTCCTAAATAATTGTGGAGCTGAACTAAACCACAATTATTTAGGAATTTATTATCAACTAAACCAGGGTATAACATATTACCAAAAAGTGGATTTTAGACACTCACCCTTTTTAAGAGATCCTGAAGACACACTGCTCATAAGAAGTTTCTGACGTAAATGAAAAACTTCAGCTTCCAAGGCTTCCACTTGTGATTTCCACTTAGACTGCCATTCAGACATCATCCTCATGAGGATCTCTGTGTATTCTCTGCTGCTTTTGTCTGCTGGTTTTGAACGGATAATTGCCAGGGACAGAGCTAACTTTGAAGTTCTCAAATACCATTTTTGAGCATCCATCGTGGCTTCTGTCCCTATCATTTTATAAGAAAAAAAAAGTTACATAAATTCCTTTTAATTTGTATATTGCATTACATTTGCTCAAAATTTACTTCGCAAAGTAGCACTAATGAATAAGTTTTTTTCAAAGAACTTGGCATCAATTAACAGAAAAAGATTCTTAGAAACTGAAAATTGTATGGGAAAAATATGGAGGAAAAAAAATGCCTACAATTGCAGAGTAGGAGTATTAAGATCAACAGTATGTTGAGGTAATCTCACAAATTCTTGCGGTGGAAAACAGACACATTCACTCATTTTGCAGCTTGTAACCCGAAGTATACATCAAACTCTTCTAAGGAGCTTCTTAAACATGTGTGTGCCTGGTCCCAATGCCTCAAAATTCACATTCAGCAAATCTGGGGTAGAATTCAAGCACACATATTTTTAAAAGAATACAATAGTTGATGGGAACCAATAAATTAAATTATTCATTTACATTTAAGTCCTTCCTTTCCTCCGAACTATTATGCTACTTCTTAGAACCTCTGTTTCCTAACCCTTCGTTTCTTAAATGGACTGTTACATGTCTTTCCTGCCTCTATGAAGCCCCCTTCATATGAGATTAATATGAATACAGATGATGTCAATCTTATCAATATTTGTACCATTTACGCTTTGGCTCTGCTCTGCTTCTATTCCTCCAAAGGCTTCCGATTGCAATCATGTGCATGCTTTTCCAAAGCAACAGTGTGGTGGCGATATAAGTGTCCGTATGGGGAAAACAAGGAGCTCTGATAGCACAGAGGTTAAGCATTGGGTTAATAACCACAAAGTTAGCTGTTCAAACCCACCACCTGCTGGATAGGAGAAAGATGAGGCTGTTGGCTATGGTAAAGATTTCGCTGCAGAAACCATATGAAGCAGTTCTATTTTACCCTATATGGTCTCTATGATGTGGAATCAACTTGATGACAATGGGTTTGGTTTGGGTATGGGAACAACATGTCAGAACATTTCATTCTCTTATTTAATATCACAGCTACTGAAAAATCCACTCATCTATAACTCTATCACATTTTGGTGACTTGTGTGTTACTGTGATGTTGGAAGCAATGCCACCAGTATTTTATATACCATGATATACAGGCTTCAGTGCACCTTCCAAACTAAGACTAAGAAGAAGGAAAGGTGAGCCACTTTAAAAAGCAGCTGTTTTTGTTAACTGTCGTTGAGTTGGTTCTGATTCACATTTCACTTTATAAGGTTTCTGTGGAACCTGGTAGATTTGAACCAGTGACCTTGTGTGGTTACGTATCCTACATCGCCACACAAACTGCAGAACACTATCTGATATAGTGCTGGAAAATAAGTGTCTCAGGTTGGAAGGCACTCAAAATACAAAATGGGAAGAGTTGCCTCCTCAAAGTACAATTGTGTAATTACTAACATGGACAGAGCAAAGTTTTAAGGAACTTTATCTGCTGATGGGGCAACACTTAAAATGAGAAGAAACAGCTACAAATAAGATCTGAATATAGAATGTACTGAACCATGAATCTACAAAATTTCGAAGTTGTCCAAAGAAATGGGATGCATAAAAAATTATTTTCTAAGCATTGTTGTTGGTAAGTGCCATCGAGTCAGTTCCAAATCATAGCAAGCTAGTATAGGGCTTTCAACGAGCAGCTGGTGAGCTTGAACCATCGAACTTGCAGTTCAAGCTGACTTTGCAGTCCAGTGCATTAACACACAGCACCATACCAGGAAATACATTGGTACTGACCATTCTGAATTGAAAAATGATGATCTACTATGTTGGGAACAGGAAATTGAAGAGGACTCGTGTCACAGTCATTGTCAAAAACAGCATTTCAAGATTTGCCTTAAAGTACAATGCTCTCTGTGATAGGATAATAGCCACACACCTACAAGAAAGACTAGTTAATACAACTATTATTCAAATTTATGTACCACCAACTAAAGCCACTTAGGATGAAACTGAAGAACTCTACCAACTTCTTTCAAGAAGCTATGGTAGAGTCGTGACTACGAGTTGGGCTGCTAACCTCAAGGGTCAGCAGTTCAAAACTACCAGCTGTTCCAAGGAAGGAAGATGAGGCTTTCTACTCCTGTATAGATTTACAGCCTTGGAAACCCTATGCAGGGTTGCTATAAGTTGAAACCAACTCCACAGCACATAGCCAACACCACCACCACCAACTTCTTTCAGTTGCAATTGATCAAATATGCAATCAAGATGCATTAATAATTACTGGTGACTGTAATGTAAAAGTTGGAAACAAAATGGAAGGATTAGTAGTTGTAAATTATATCCTATATAATAGAAGAAGGAAGAAGTCCAAGGGGCATTGACAGAATTGGCAAAGAACAAGGCACCAGGAATTGATGGGATAAAAATTGAAATCTTTCAAGAAACTGAGGCAGCACTGGAGGTACTCACTCATCTCTGCCAAGAAATTTGGAAGACAACT